TCGTGTAGCTTTGCGCGAAATTCAAAAACAAACAAACAAACAAACGTTTATATGTGTGTGTGTGTATGTGTTTACATAACCAAAAGTAAGGCTTATAGCACTTACAATAATAAATGTTCAGTCCTATATTCGATTATCAAGTCAATTAGTCCCCACATATGCAAATAAAACTTGAAACATTATCCACAATATTGAGAGTTTTCTTTCCAGCAAACAAAGACGGTGTAAATTACAGCATTAGCGAATATACCTGTTTCTGGTAAACAATATGCGGCAGTAAGGGGCGGTTACCCAGAAAGTTGTCGGTAACATTATTCACGGTGACATTGCATTCAAAGTAGTTCATGCATTATGGGATAGGGCGTGTGATTTGATTGGACAGAGAAAAGAACATTGTAGTATGTGGTCAACATTGATATTTCTGTCCGTGTTCCGATACCTTAGGCTTAACTCGTAACCACGTATTCAGGTTAATCTGATAACGGCGGAAAAACACAAATAACTATAATAACTTCGGTCCGGGCAGAGCCAGTGACACGTATGGTGGCGCCTGGAGGGTTGTGGTTAAATGTCATTCTCGTTCAACACCATCGTACTGTTTAAAATTACTAAACGTTTCAATTGTGTGTGTGCTTTTTTTGTGTATTTGGATTTCGCGCAAAGCTACACGAGGGCTATATGCGCTAGCCGTCCCTAATTTAGCAGTGTAAGACTAGAGAGAAGGCAGCTAGTCATCACCACCTACCGCCAACTCTTGGGCTACTCTTTCACCAACGAATAGTGGGATTGATCGTAACATTATAACGCCCCCACGGCTGAAAGGGCGAGCATGTATGGTGTGACGGGGATTCGAACCCGCGACCCTCTGATTACGAGTCGAGCACCCTAACCATCTGGCCATGCCGGGCGAAGTTTCAATTCTTCTTAAACACAAACTTAGCGAAAATCAAAACATTAAACACAACTTAGCAATATCTTCAACGTACTTCAAAACCAAAATGTTAATAATAATTATTTGAGAGATCTAAAAGGTTCTTCCAAGTGAAAAACATTCATTACAATAAAGTTAATTAAACAAGACATATAACTTAACGGTTTTTTTTCACATGTTACAGAATAATTACTGAGCATTTTCCAGTTATACACACAGCTATATACTGACTTAAATAAATATATAGCTATATAGATATAATAGTACTGTCTGTTGTATGTCCATGTAACTACTGCGACAGGGTGTGGATGGAACTTCACCAAAATAGGTATGGAGGTTCATTAGGTCCATGCGGGGACACAGAAAAACTTCCAGTTTTGCATTATGCGGTTTTTATGGGCGTTTTTTACCACTACTTCGTCCCCTGTAAATGGGTCTTCACCAAATTGGGTGTGGAGGCTCATTGGGACCATGGGGAGATACATAAAAATTTTAAGTTTTGTATTTTGCGGTTTTTATGGGCGTTTTTTACCACTACTTCGTCCCCTGTAAATGGGTCTTCACCAAATTGGGTGTGGAGGCTCATTGGGACCATGGGGAGATACATAAAAATTTTAAGTTTTGTATTTTGCGGTTTTTATGGGCGTTTT